AGAACAGAACGGAACAGAACAGAATTCTTTATTGGCCAAGTGTGACTGGACACTCAAGGAATTTGTCCGCGGTGCATAAGCTCATAGTGTACATATGAACAGCAAGTAATAGGTCATAGGTCATAATCATAGTTACAATAATTAATCATAAGTTACAAGCAACAATCGATAAATCATAAGAAACCAAAAGGAGAAAATAACATTAAATAAAATATAATAAATATAATAAATCATATTAAGGCTTGGTGAAATATCCAAACATAATCAACGTGTATATAGATTATAGAATCCATAAAAAAGGATCCTAAAATGTTCCTTTTGCAGGTTGAAGAGTCAATGATAACCTTTTCTGACTCCACATGCTGAAGAGCTACATAATGCATGCCCTGCATCAAGCTTGCCAAGAAAGGACTTATGAAAGAATTATAACTCAATATTTTATTGTGATATTTTATTATATTGTAAAACTACATAATCCATTTTATTTTTTCAATACAGTGCTATTTGTACGGTGTTAATTAAAGATTGTTAACATTTTAATATTTAGATATCAGTAAGAACATTTCAAATGCTGCATTTTTAAAAAATAACCCTCTTTCATTCTTGAAATCTGATTTATCTTCCTGCAATTTGTAAATACATCAACCATGGTATATTCTGGCCTAAAGACAGAACACGAATTATGCAATATTTTAATTGCTCTGAATCCTAATTCTAATCCTAACTGGCAGACTCTTAATACTTTGCAAAATGATTTATACATGGAAACATTTTTCTTTTTTCTTATCAGCTCAAATATTCAGCACAAATGATGATAATAAATTACTTTGCTCCTTGCCAGATCTCTGAATGCCAGATCCAAAGAAAAGGTTAAAGACCTTTCATATTCCCAGCATTACACTTCAGATACTTATAAATCACTGGCTGTGTACATAGATAAGTAGATCATTAGTTGTATTTAGCTGAAAAGCTTTTCTGTTGCATGACTAGCTTGGAAGTTTTCTCTTCAAGTAACAGTGGGAGTAAGTTCCATGGAGAGATCACCATAAATACACACCTCCGCATCTATGCAGAGAAAGCTCCAGCTTATGCATGGCAGAAGGAAAGGTTTTTTAGTGCTTGGGAGCCAAAGGAAATAAAGATTTCAGCCTGGGAGTGGCATTTCAAAGACTGCACTGCAGCTGCAGTTTGTGGGGGCATTGTACCCTATGTGCAAGAGAATTATCTTGAATTTTTTCTAATCAATCCAAAGAAAGTATATGCAACATTTAATGATGGATGGTGTATTATCGTTTAACACTTTAACATGATGTAGTTCTGTAAGAACTACAAATCTTAAAGTTTCCAGTATGCGTGTGAAAATTTACTTTAAGATCCAAAATCCAAAGTTTATTCTAATTTATCATGTTCAAGAATTATACATGTATATAGTATACAGTTTACTCATTGCAGCATTTTCTATAGCTTATGACTCCTAATTTCTACATTTAATAGCAAAGTTCATCAGGCTAACTTACATCACAGGCTGTTGCAAGTATAAGATACTCATGGCATTTCTATTATCTATTTCAAGTTATGATGTCATATACTGTTTGCAGTTAATGATTTAAAATTTGGATGGATCATTAAACACATTTAGAAAATTGCTTCTGAGTAAACCTAAGATACAGTTGCAACCACAGTTCAGAAAAATTAACATTATATATCATGATTGATATCTATCTGCATAGTTTATTCTTTCTCCTGCTTTTGAAGAAACAATCCTATTATCAAAATAAGGTAGTTTTTCAAACAGCATAAGGTACCATATTAGCTTGACCTCAAAAGATCCAGAGAACAGATGTTGTGGTTTATTAATTAAACATTGCCAATAACTACTAGCAGCTATCCAGAGTATACTTTATAGCAGGATCCTTGCACCTTTGTCATTTTGTGTGGCTCTCAAAATCTTAAAGTTGCGGAGGTTGAGACATACTACTGTATACTAAAGTAAAATTGAACTGAATTGCTGTTGGCTTCATAATCATGTATGCAATTAGTTTTCTTGGCTACCATATAAAAGTGATTAGTCACTGCCTTTTTCAAGGCTTTTTTTTCCTTTAGATTTCACAGATTAATGTTCCATTATTCTTTTGAAGTCTCCCATCCAAATACCAATAAGGCTTGACCCTGCTTTTAACGTTCCTGTTCAGGTAAGGTCTGCTGGATGCTAACAGCAGCCGATATGTCTTACCTTCTTATAATTGCTCTTCATTTTCTGTGCTGTGAAACCAAGAATGAAATGCAGACACAGAGTTCACCTCTTCTTTCATACACTGAGTAGTATCAATTTATTCCACAAAATTATAATTATATACTTCATATTGTCAAAAATCATCTTGCTCTTGCCAATGAAGAAAAGGTTTCTTGGAATGCTCTCTCTTTTTGATAATATTTTTTAAGGTTTAAAGATACAAAGTTAAAAAAGAAAAATACTAATAAAAATATAAAAAGAAAAAAGAAAAAAGAAGAGGCACGGAAAAAAGAAAAGATATATAAAAATGACTTTATCAAGATAATAAGTTACTATACTATATAGTATACTATATTATATACTATACTATACAATTACCATGTTTCTCCGAAAATAAGACCCTGTCTTATATTTTTTTTGAACCCTGAAATAAGCGCTTGGCCTTATTCCCATGAGCTCAAAAGCCCGATTGGGCTTATTATCAGGGGATGTCTTATTTTGGGGAAAACAGGGTAGTTTCAAAATCTTTGTATATGTGTATATAAAATTTTCAAAACTCTCCAAAACCAACATTTGAGTAGCCCTTTTACTGTTTAAATAAGTTTAAATCCTTAAACTTGCATGAAACGTCTTTTATTAAGAATAGAAGGAAATTCACAGAGAGTAATGAAACTTGCTCTTCTGAAGATTCTTGACATCCATAAAACCACTAACAAGAAATTTCCTAAAGTGGTTAAGAAAAGAAGTATCAGAAAAGAAGAAGCAAACCCAGTATCTTTTTGAAGGAGTGGAACTGTGGCTTAGGTGAGAAGACTTTCCTTCAGCTCCCAGACTTCTAAAAACCACTAGAGGGTCTTACAGTCCCTCATGGGGTGCCACTGTATGGAGTACCTGTGGGTGATCCTGGTCCTCTCATTATTCCAGAGGGGAATTCTGAGCTGATCCATTCACCAGCTTCCGTTTCTGCTGTGGTCATTACCTTTGCTCTTGTGAACAGTTTTCAGTCCATCATTGCTTCCCAGAAGCTATTTCTTGGAATTCTTCCATAGTCCATTGATATGCATGAATCCCCACATTCCAAAATTAAATTAGATAAATCTGCACAAATACAGCATCTATATTAGTCACAACGGCCCTAAAGTGGTGCTGACAGATTTCAGAAAAATGTTCACATAAATCTGAGGACAAGCAAAGGTACCACTACATACAAAGTCAAGCTGCAATCAGTTAACTGATAGCTGAGAGAATGTTAAGTTAGAAATAAATCTAACTGAAATGTGCTGTGACTAGAATAGGGAAAAAAAATCCCTTTGCCACTGTTTACAAAGACTTGGCAACAATCCACTAGATGCTGCACAACCTGTGATCCAATACCTGGAACTGAATAATCCTGCAGCTCTTTCTGTGCTAGAGTAAATTACTCATACTGCATGTACATTACACTTGCCACATGCTACCTTTTCTCCATCCTCTGCTAGAATCACAATGGAGGTTTCTTTCCTACTGCAGCAATCTCCTCATCCCATCATGTTCTCCCAAATAATGTCACACCAGACCTTAGTTCTTTGAACTGCTTTTTACAAACCCTTAATTTAGAAATACTTCCACTGACATCATGGGGGTTTATGAGAGATTACAACCACAAACAGCTGCAATCAAACAACCAGCTCTTATAGCCTATGTTACAGTTTATAGACAACTAGGGATTCCCCCCCACCCCAAGGAAACACATTACCTTTCAAATTCTATGACTGCACAAGTCCTTAATTTCAGAATGTAAAGGCACCTAAACACAAATTGTTATTGAAGTTCATAATTGGCAACCTTCCACTAATTTATTTAGACATTATGCCAAGTTGCATCTACTCTCTCAGCTTTTTCTTTCCTCTTGAGCGTTCTTCAACCCCCTTCTCCGCAAAGCTTTCTAAAGTGCCTCTCAGAAACAAATTTGTCATTCCCCATTCGTCTGTACACATTTATTCTAGGATTTTTCCCTAGACCACCCAGCAAGTTTCATAAACTGAACAGGAACATCATTCCACTGCATTTCCCCCACTCCGAAGTCAAGCTGCAAGCAATTAACTGATACCACAATTTTAAAATCTAAGAAATGCACCAACTCAAGAAGTATTTATTGATTTCCACTGAACTTTCTTCTGGGAGAAGGCTAAAAATCCTTCTTCGCACGTGGTGGGAGTAAGTGGTAGCCATTTCTGCACCCCAAAACTGCACCACTCCTTCTCAATCTCAGTCTTCTGCAAGCCCCACAACTGTTAGCAAAATGCTGCCCTCTTGGATCAATGGGATTTCATTTTTGAGATGCAGAAAGAAAGCCCTTTCACTGTTCACTCTTCAAATTTTGTGTGTATTGCATTAGCCCTTGGACTACATCTTCTGAGACCATAGGATAACCGGCTGGCGGCCACTTGTTCCTTCTCCATATAGGAATCCAGAAGCAAAGGTCGGCATCCTCTGGCCCCTGCGCTCCCTTCCTTCCAACTGCCAAGGCTCTTTCTGAACAGGGGGTTCAGTTTTTCTGGGTCCAAGTTACCGAATCTGGGGCTCTTGTAGCTTCCCAGAAATGCTCCTGAGCATCTACAGAGTACAACTGCCCTCACTACTTAGAGCCAGCTAAGCCACGCTCCCCACCCCTCCAAGATCTATTGGATCCTGGGATCCTGCAGCAGGAAAGCCTCCCCAAGCAGAAGGGGTCCTCTCTCGTCATTTGTCGGGGTCCGTATTAAAAGGCCAACCTTTCCCGACTTACCAGAAATCGCGGCACCTCCGCCGGACTCCCCGGACAGTCCGTGGCCGAAGATGCTCTCCAGCGTGAGTCGCCGCGCCTCCAGAGGCGGCAGCCGGCACTACCGCGCTACTACGACTCCTGCGGCGAGAAGCGCCGAGTCCAACGGGAGCCAGCCTGGGGAGCCTGGAGCCCTCCGCAATCTCGTTTGGCAAATTAAACGGAGAAGGCGGGGAGGGAGGCAAGCAAGGGAGACGCCGCCAGGGAACGAGCAAGCGCGGCGCCCAGGGCATCCGCCTCACTCTTTCGCAGTCAGGCGCGGGGTGAAGGCGAGGGAGAAGAGCCCCCACAGCAGGCAGTTTCTCCGACTCAGGAATTTTGATACGGGAGGGCGGGAGAAGGGGGAAAAAAAAAAAAAACGCCGCACGACTCTAGTAATAGCAGCCGCTGCGCCACCGCGAGAAGGAGGAGCGCCAGCGGAGCAAGGAGAGGACAGCGCGAAAGCATCGCCGGCAATGCGCATGAGCGCCAGCTCGCAAGACTCGCCACCGCCGGCACTGCTGGCGGCAGCGGCGGCGTCGGTCAAATGACGAGAGTGGCGAGCTGGCGGCCTTCATTCAGGGCGAGACGGAGGTCGTGGCCGCCTTGGTCCTTCGGTCGACGGCCAAGCCGGCCGCTTCCTCCGTCTCGCCGTCCCTGCTGGGCACTCGCGCTTCTCCGTCCGCGCCTCTCCGACCTCGGAGGAGGAGCGGCCGGCGCCCCCTTGGACCTTCCGTCCGGGGCATATTGGCCAGGCGGCTTTTTTCTTCGGGGGGGGGCTGGTTTCCCCCCCCCCCGCTCCCCCTATCCGTGGCGTCAGGTTGCTCAAGCTTGCCTGGCCTGGCCGGTGAAAGATCCCTGCCAATTTTTAAAGCGGGCAGATGGTGGCCAGTGCAGCCTTTAAGTGGGTCAGTGGGCCGTCTCATACGTCGAAAGCTAGAAGGGCTTATGCGATCATCCCGATCGGGTGATTTTAATCAAGTCTGATGCGCATTGATGATTCATTGCAGGCATCACAGCATCTCTTAGCCATCGGTGATTTCACCCAGAAGGAGAGATGTATTACTCTGATGGTGGCGGAAAAATCAGAAGGAATCTTGTGCCACCTTTTCAGATTATATCACATTTTATTAAAAGACAAGCTTTTGTGAACTGCAGCCCCCTTCATCAGATGCAGGACAACGTCTTGGCTGTTTTAAGATTTAAACTGTGGTGAAAGAGGGAAAGAAAGGTTGATACCTATACAACTTATCTGAGGGATGGAGTACTGCACAGAGCAAACACTTATCCATTAATAAGTGTAATACATTACAACCCATTGTGTTTGTTGACACCTTCTGAGATGTGATGATGTGAGTTGAGCAACCTCCTACTCAATGGTGGAGTTCCAGTCTTCTAAGACATTCACTTTGAGGTTGGCTATACGGTGTCATGGGAAGTTGATTTGGCATTATGCTTGTTTTGAATCATGATGTCAATTTCGAGTTCATTAATTATTGTACACAAAGTGTACAAAAACACTGCCTTTTGGGGAAAAAAATGTGCTAGTTGTGAAAAGATGCTCCCAGGTTTCTTCAGTGACTTGATTATATCTTTAGAGAAGTTACAGTATTAAGTCACTCAGCAAACATGCCACAGGTGACTCATCTTGAAGCTAATGGGAATGCAATTGGTTCATAGTACTCATTCACTTCATTTTGTGAACTCAAACTAACTACAGGTAGTCCTTGACTTATGACCACAATTGAGCCCAAAATTTCTGTTGCTAAATGAGACATTTGTTAAGTGAGGTTTGCCCTATTTTATGACCTTTCTTTCAGTGAAATTCACTCTTAAGTGAATCACTGCTGCTGTTATATTAGTAACACAGTTGTTAAGTGAATTTGGATTCCCCATTGATTTTGCTTGTCAGAAGGTCACAAAAAGTGAATACATGACCCTGGGACACTGCAAACGTCATAAATAGGAATCAGTTGCCATACATCTGAATTTTGATCACATGACCATGGCGATGCTGTAATGGTAAGGGGGGATATGGACATAAGTCACTTTTTTTCAGTGATGATGTAACTTCAAACTGTCACTAAACAAACTTTTGTAAATCGAGGACTACCTTCATTGTGGTTTATCAACTACTGGTATTGTAGTTCATAGCTTAGCCTGATGAATAAATTAAGACATTGAATTAATTTGTGTGATATACTAAGCCATGGCATGTTGGGCTCAGTAAATGTCCCAATCTGTAATATGAGGGTCCTTAAATTTGTACTTAGAACTTGCTTTTAGTTGACTTCTCTGATCTGCAGGTCAGTGAGAGAGAAACCCAGACAGGGATTACTTTATGTTTAACTCCCCATTTTGTCATTCAGGGATAGAAAACAGGTGTGCTTACAAAATGGGGCTGCTGTTCCAGCTGCAGCATCTCAGAATCTGCAACATACAAATTCTGCAGGCATTGAAAAAGTAAAAAGACATATATATCTAATGGGGTAAGCCAGGGAGTTCCAGCCCTTCCCTACTCATGTAATGGCTCCAGCCCAATCCAGTCATTGCAGAGGAATGTTTTAACTGTCCAGCCTTCAGACAAAACTAAGAAGTGTTAGTCAGTCATCATAAAAGCTGATGTAATATTGGCCAATAGACATGGTAACCGGCTGACATTGTTGGATCATCTAGTATAACATGCATGTAAGATTCTTATCAGTGATTTAGGATAAACCAGGCTTACAGTATCATGTAAATATAGCCACCGTATTATTTATTTATTTATTTATTTGATTGATTGATTGATTGATTGAGTGAGTGATTGATTGATTGATTGATTGAGTGATTGATTGATTGATTGATTCTATAGCAGCCCATCTCAACTAGTGATTCCAGGTGGAAAACATCATATTATGCCATACAATGAAAAGAAAAGTAACAACTTTCAGTAAGAAGCTTTATAACTGTTACATTATGTATAAACTGCAGTCTATTAAAATAAAGTAAGAATCTTGGTGGTACTTCTGTTCAAATGGTAAGACCATGAAGCAACATGACTAATCTTGATGACACCCTCTAGAAAAATGCCAAATAGACAGAAATATAACCCATCGTATCTTAGTGCCTTTTTTCCACTCATGAATCAGGTTTAGTTCTATCAACAACATTAAATCAGTTTTAATCTCAATAGTCTACATCAGGGGTGAAATCCAGCCGGTTCTGACAGGTTCTGGAGAACCGGTAGCGGAAATTTTGAGCAGTTCAGAGAACCGGTAGCGGAAATTTTGAGTAGTTCGGAGAACCGGCAAATATCACCTCTGGCTGGCCCCAGAGTGGGGTGGGAATGGGGATTTTGCAATATCCTTCCCCTGCCACGCCCACCAAGCCACAGCACGCCCACCAAGCCATGCCCAAGCCAGTAAAAAATTTTGGATTTCACTACTGCTGCACATGTTTTACAGTTGAAAATTGTGAGCTAAAATACTGTGCTTGGGATTTTTGGAGAGCTGGCGAGACATTGAATCAGGCTTGACTTTTAGTGTCTGACTCCCCTGGTCTCTCCCCAGCTTTTTTGGCAACATTTTTAGCAGTGGCTCTTCCTAGAGTTGAAAGAGAGTCATGGGTGATTCTATGCCTAAGGCAGCTTTAGAACTTAGGCTGCCAATTCTACTTCAACACCTTAACCATTAGATCAAACTCTCTCTCTCTTTGAGACGTTACCTAATACATCAAATCTGATTGATCACTGTCTTTCTGCCACATACTGCACCATCATATAATCTTGCTATCATCAACAGAGGATAAAATCTAGTTTGAATTCATATGATTGTGTATGGGAACACTTTTCACTTAGCATTTTCCTTTGGCACATGGGTGTTTGATTACGAGATCTACAATATTGTGTAAAATGACTCTTCACTGTTTTTTTTTTTTTTAATTTGATTTATATGCCGCCCTTCTCCGGAGACTCAGGGCGGCTTACAATGCGTTAAGCAATAGCCTTCATTCTTTTGTATATTTATACAAAGTCGGCTTATTGCCCCCACAAACTGGGTCCTCATTTCACCTACCTTAGAAAGGATGGAAGGCTGAGTCAACCTTGAGCCTTGGAGAGATTCGAACCAGCAGTAAATTGCAGGCAGCTGTGTTTAACATACGTTATATTAAATGTGTGGAGGCTATTGGACTATTCCAAGTTACAGTACTCTGCCCAATTCAATGGAAGCTCTTACTTTGAATAAACACAACTCTGTACATTTCAGTGCCACTTAGGCAACAAACTGAAAGGCAGCCATGATTATCCCCCAACTGAACTGAAACTAATTTGCAGTTATTACAATGCTTGTACTTTATTTGCAACACGCATGGCTAAAAATAATGTTGGGCATTTTCCTTCCCCAGTTATATTCTGCAAAGTAAGAAGTATCACCAGGAAGTAGGGGAAGCAGGGAGAGAAGTAACTGGTTTATGCAAGACTGCTCAGTTGTTTCATTTTCACTAAAACCTTGAATTTTCTTTGTTTCAGCAAAGTCTGGTTCGGATTTCCTGTTCTGCATTTTAAATAGTCTCAAAACCCAAAACTAGCAAGATTTAGGTACCCTAAAATAAATCCTTCTTATGATTGTACATAGATTAAATGTGTGAGTGGTTTTTATTATCGTCATGATTATGTGGCTCATCATTTAATGAAATAATTAATTGTAGAGGGAGTGTTACTGTGCAACTAATTATGGCTTTGTATGCATGTGTGAGACACTCTGTGCTTACAGAGAATCTATTCAAAAAATTCTATTGTGTTCAACATGACTAGAGAAGTGCATTTTGGATGCTGACTTTTTTTAATCTGACAATTTTTATTCTTTAGGCCAGAGAAGGGGTGAAATCCAGCAGGTTCTGACAGGTTCTGGAGAACCGGTAGCGGAAATTTTGAGCAGTTTGGAGAACCAGCAAATACCACCTCTGGCTGGTCCCAGAGTGGAGTGGGAATGGAGATTTTGCAATATCCTTGCCACAGAAGTGGGGAGGGAATGGGGATTTTGCAGTATCCTTCCCCTGGAGTGGGATGGGAATGGAGATTTTGCAGTATCCTTCCCCTGGAGTGGGATGGGAATGGAGATTTTGCAATATCCTTTCCTTGCTACACCCACCAAGCCATGCCCACCAAGCCAGACCACACCCACCAAGCCACACCCACAGAACCGATAGTAAAAATATTAGGATTTCATCACTGGGCCAGAGGTAGAGAATCTGTGGTCCATAAGAAATTCGTAACAGTTCTAGACATCATGGTCAATAGAGAAAAACACTGAGAATTTTATGTGGAATATATATTCCTGTTTCCTATTTCTTATCTTGAATTCATGAGACTAATAGACTAATAGAAACAGTCTATTGGGAACTTACCCTATCACATGGTGCTCGGGCCAACTTTCCAGCCAACATGCCCAGTGTCTTAACTGCTGAGCCCCAATAAAAGCAGGTAAT